AGTCGGGCATCAACGTGTGTACCGTCAATTGCATCAATACAATTCTGTTTAATTGTTTGTTAGATAGTAATTATATTATGAATCGTATGACAAGTTATAAAATAAAACCACTCATAGTTACCTTGAAATATGACATGTATCGAGAATCGTTGACAATTTATTCTGGAGTGGTAACAAATGATGGATCCTCCGGTTTAATTATTTTTGCTGCTAAGCTAACAAGAGCCTGTATGCCTTTAGAAAAGTAACGAATTATTGTTTTAGAAGAATGTTGAAATCTTTTCATATCTCTTCTAATTGATTCATTTTGTGACAGAATGTACAGTGTTATAGCCAACACCTCCCTACACACGTCGTTCTGGAAGAACCCTAGAGGCCGTGATTTAGACATAACTCGTGCAAAAGATCCATAAAAATTGGTGCTGTCATTCTGAAAATATTTGTAAACCTTATTGGATGGGCAGAAAGCATTTCACCAACTCATCTGTCTCCAACAAAGCTGGATGTCATGTAGGGAATGCGAGCAGTGCTACTCCCGTAATAATCCAACAACAATATCGCAATTGCTGTAACAAATGTCATTCTCTACGACGCACACGTTGTGGATTCATCCTAAATGATATAAGATGTAAACATAATTAGTGCATAATAAGATATTGCTGCAGCACTACCAAATATTAATTGCTCAAATTCAGAATATATAATACACAACTTATAAATAAAGCATCAACCACTAACAGGTACGTATGTAGATGATACAAATATATTAAAAAAAGATAACATGATTAGAAGTTCCAAACATTTAAAAAAAAATCGACATAAGTAGAAGTTTATATTTCTGCAACAAATACATATACCATACAAAAAAAAATATCATTCCTCGACCAAAACCCGCAAATATTCGAGACGCAATTCAGGCTCTAGCGCCATGAAAATTTTCATTTGAGTTGAATCCTCAAGTTTTTTCGCACACTGTGCGTGAAATCGTTTGTCGGCCACAACTTCAGGAATAGTGCCCAAAAGCCTGATACAGTCTAATATGTTAGCATCAGATATTGGTGGAGCTGCAAAAGCTTCAATTAAACGATCGAAGGAGGTGTTCACAAAATGTTCCTTCTCTTTATTTTTCTTAGCAATCCTTGGCCTCTTTAAAATTGTACTGGACTCCCCCATATCCCTTTGGTTAATGTTATGCACTTCTTCAGCGGGTGTTAATGGCTCAGGTGTGATCTCATCTGGTATCTCTGTGAAACCGCTTTCAGTAGGTTGAATGAAAACTTTCCCGTTAAGACAACCCATTTAAATATTATGTCAAGTTTTTCTTCAAATTCCGGCTCTATTCCATACTGTTTGTACTTCTTCGCTGCCGGTACCGCCTGTGGTATAGCATTTAGAGGGGATATTTAGAAAATTATAATGAGATAAAACAAATTGCGAAGCTAACAATTCATGAATTATATAGAAATTTACCTCTAGTTTTTCAGCCCACCATTCAGCTGGAGCAACAATTGTCCTTTTAATCAGATCCCAACCCAGACCGGTAGATCCGCATTTCAACTCCTTCCATATTTTTCATTCCTTCTTCAACTGGTCCCATTTGTTTTTAAATTTAAGCCGGTCGTAATCCTTGTTAGTCAATTCTTTGAATCTCTTACCAATGTTTAGCCACCCTTACTTATTAAAATACGTTGTTGGTCTGTTCCCCAGTTCTATTTCTTTAATACACAGATCGCAAAAAATATTTGTAACGTCTTTGTCCCACATTGCGGACTGACCCCCTTCAACTACTTTAGACATGATTTAACAGCAGTGTCGTGTAATTATTCTGAATAAAAACATATTAAGAATAACTTTTTGCTAAAAATGAATCAACATCCATACATGTCGTGGAATCAACAAAATGCAAAAAAAAAAAAAGAACCATCTACATAATTAACCAATAGCAGTGTCAATATTTGCTAAAAAGAAAAAAAAAATACACAAAGGATATATGTGGTTTGGTCAAAGACCTACATCCACAGTAAGACATCAAACATGTTTTATTATCCAATTACGTAAGAGTACATTGCTATGATTATTCATGGAGAACACTACTACAACTACCAAGTACATGTGTAATAAACAACTTCTAATATATGTCATGGAATCCAACTTCTAATATATTGT